TGTTATGTACTGGGGATATGAAGCTGAAAGCGACAGTCCCTGCCCTAGAAGAGCTCATGTTCTAGGTGGAAGATACTTGCAAAGCAAATAAGAAAATATTGAAAACACTTACCAAGTTACCAGTATGATATTTGCAATAATGAAGAACTATTGAAGGAGCGATCTGTTCTGCTGAGAGAGAGAGAGAGAGAGAGAGAGAGAGAGAGAGAGATGGAGGGAGAGGGGGAAAGAGAAAGGGGAGAGGGAGAAGGGGAGAGAGAAAAGCGAGGAGGGAAGTGGGGAGAGAGCAAGGGAAGGAGGGAGAGGGAGAGAGACTGATGGTGTGTGTGTGTGTGTGTGTGTGTGTGTGTGTATTTTGTAGGGGGAGGGGGTGCGTCCAAGAGGGTTAGGATCAGGAAGAGGTTGTTAGGGCTAGAAGGCTAAGAGGAGTTCCCAGAAGAAAAGGGGTTGAAGGACATTCTAGAGTGATGGAACAGTCTGAATGCAGGGGGAAGTAAGCTATGGGAAAAAGACAAGTAAGCAGGTCAGCTCCCCGTGTAGTGTGATTGGAGAAAAACTGGGAAGGGCATTAATTATCCCAAAGTTGGAGCCTTAACCCAGTGGAAGAAATGAGATTTATGCGAAGTCAGTATATGTGATATTTGCATTTCTACCCCAGACTTTCTTAATATTTTTCTTCTCCTGTATATTTCTTAGTACCCTGGAGAAAACAGGTTTAGTTTCAACAAAAGGTTAATACTTTGAAAATGTCTCAAATCAAGTGGTTTTCAAACTGTGCTCTGGAAGCCCCCTTTGAGGTTGGCTAGGGTGAGGTCAAAAGAGCAGGCAGGGGCCTGCTGGGTGTCCCTCAGGAGCTCTACCATTATCTATCCACCTATCAAGCTTTTCTTCAGATCATTCTAAATATTGGGCACAGCCAATAAGAAAATTACATTTGGAAAAGGGTACACAACCAAAACAAAGTTTTAAAAACCGGTGTAATCTAATCTTCATATATTTAGTAAAAGTCTGAGGACTTGGTGTGGATTGCCAAGTCTCTCAGCTACTGGCCAAAGGATGAATATTCTCAATCAGCTGAAGAAGGAGCATCCGGCAGGCATTGATCTGAATGTGTGAACAGTGATAATGGTTGGTAGGATAAGCTTTCAATTGGCCAGAAGAGGCAATAATAAAATTATATCTTCCCAGAACAAACACTGTAAGATCAATATTAGAATTTTCTTATGAGGGCAAACTAATCTTTTCTTAAACATTTCAGAGCTTTCTTTATACTGTAACATTTTTAGTACTTCTTGATCTAGTACCTGTATTTACTCATCCTGTTCGATATAAAAATAAATTATGCAGTGGTAGTTAGGATGTTTATAGCAAGACAATGACCCTTGCTGATTTGGTTTAGCAAGAAGTGTTATTAGGAATTAAAATATTTTGTGTTATATATCATGTTATAATTATTTATGTCTTGTTTAGATAGTATGTTAATTTGGTTTTAATCACTTTGCTAATAAAAACTAAAGGGACTTGCCAGTTTATTTGTACTTACGCATAACTTTTGCATTTAAATGTGGCTTAGCTGCCCTGAGGTGGTGATATAATCTTTTCTGGGAGTCAAAATCTCATGATTTTATATCTATCATTTTTTTCTGATGAGGAGACACTCACTGAGGTGCTGTTTGACAGAAAATTTTAAAAACCCTGAAGAAAATAGCCCAAAGATATGTTTGGGTACAAAAGAAATAGCTACAGAAGGTCACCTGCCTGTGACATTATGCAGGTTATTTAACCTTGCAGTGTCCTTCCCTGGAACATGAGGCCAATTATCCCTACCTTCATTAAATGAGATGAGGTACACGAAATGGCCATGTTTCCCAAAGTTAAATTTTACCCGAAGAGGGAAACTACTTACTGCAAAAGTATTCCGTCACATGGTAGAAGGATGGCACAGTGCACGTAGGGGAAATAGATGCATAACTCTTGAAATTTAGAAGTGGCTTACATAAGGCTGTGGGAAACATTTTTTAAAATTGAGTTTGTTCCCTTTAAACACTTTCATTGGACTAATAACACACATTAAGTACTTATAATACACGCCCTGTAAGTAACTCACAGTCTAATTGGTTAGTCAGTCTTTTGTTTTTAAAAATATTTTTTCCTTCTATTTTAATTGTTAACCTACGTATTGTTTCTCATTTGAGGGTGACCTGCTTTCTCTAATACTGAGTATTTGCCATATTGATTCTCAAGTCTGAGTATCTGGTTTCATTTCTAAGCAGAAATGAACCCATTTTTCTCAGTGCTGAGTGAGCATTTCTTAACAGACCAGGACTCTCCCTACCTTCTGGAGGAAAGAGCTGAATATTGCAGAACACTGTTGAGCTGTGGCCAGAGCCTTCAGAGGAGCACCTGGCTCCTCACAGCCAGGGCCATGCCTGGTCTCCTCTGTTTCAGTTCTTGAATCCTTAATTGGTAGTAGAAGCATTTTCAAGACAATGTTGAAAACACATTTCAGGAGTCTAGGATTAAAATAGTAAGGTGATATAAATCACATAACTGAGAAACACTAAAAAAGAGCTAAAGAGTGAGAGCTTTAAACAGTATTTTTAATTTATACACAGTTAGAAAACAGAAATAGATTTCCATCCCTTTTAGCTGGTGATGTTGTTGAGTCCTTTTTTTTATTATTACAATCTGTGATAAGAGGTCATTTATATAACCAAAGCATCTTAGTGGCCGCTCAGCCAAGTTTTTGGTTTATCTTTGACTGTAGTCAAAGCAAGTGTGATGAATGAACAATTGAGGTAACAACCGGATACAAGCAGGACTTTGTAAGAAGAGTCTTGAAATCTTCAGTTGAAGTCTTTGTTTCTCACCACCATATGGAAGTTGAAAGTGTTTTGAAGCTGGTAGGCAGCTTTCTTTTGATGTATTTTATTCACTTAGAATTAAGGACAGAAACTCTCTTAAGTTAATCACAAAAATTGTCTTATGTCGTACTTAGTAGCTTGGGTGTTTTCAGTTATTTTTGAGTGCAGTAAGAAAACTATACATTTTATATATGCTCAGTACCTTACAACAGAAATAGTTTCAATTTGTCTGTCAGTTGACAAGTATGTTCTACCTTTGATTGAAACAACCACCCTTCCTTCTGCTGCATATTAAATCCCAGGGCTGAAGCTGCCCATTGGTAGTGCTGGTTCTGTTACATCTAAAAGGAACCAATAAATGCATTTGTTGGAAGTGGCATCTGTTAAGGAAATATACCTGAAATAAAAATGAGGGCCTATTTTGTAAAATGCTTCTTTCTTGTCTTCTGTGTGCTACAGTGGAATTGTGTATTGATGCTCCAGGCTTCCCCAGGAAAGAATGTCTGTGGGCTGGTCCTGAAGCTGTTTTCCTTGTGGTTTGTCTCCTGTCCAAACCCAAGGGAAGCCAGGCTCCTTTCGTTTTCATTCTTTTCCAAAAAACTCTAGTGCTTTTGAACACAGAACCCCCATCCTCCCACCACCCAAACTCTGCATTCCAACTGCGTGATTTCATGGTACCAGGCGTGTCTCCCCTGCCATGCCGTCAGGCCGCCTGCTGACTCTTGCAGGGGGAACAGACGGGAACATAAACTCACTGCAGAAGAGCAGGACGCTCTCTGTATATTTTTAAGACCAGGAATCCAGTTCCCATTTACAGGCTGTATTTTTTTAATAGCTCCTTGAAAATTGAACAAAACATTTCTTGTTGCTCTTATTTCTTGACAATATCATTCCCTCTGCACTGATGTATAGAATCTCAGAAACTAGAGAATGGAAAAGATGTATTAGATCATGTCTAGCTCATTCCCACTGGTCACAATACTTTTTTTTTTCCCTTCCCACAGTCTTTCCTCTAAGGTTTTTCTCTTCTTGTTTTCTCAGGAATTTGTTTTCTCCATTTCTCTTGGGGAATAATTTCTGAGATTGACCATGAAGGAATTTATGTGGAAATATTCATATTCTTCTTTTTCCAGCTTAATATTCCTAGTCTTCATAACCCTTTCCATTACCATAAACACTCCCTCTCCTTCCTAGGTCAAGTATTTCAGGATGGTATTTTTTTTTCCTTTCCATTTATTAAGTTCAGAGTTTGTTTTTCTGCTTTGCTTTCTCTCTTCATCAATCAGACCCTAAAGCCCATTAATCATTTCTTGCTGCACTGAAAATGCCTTTGCTTATTCCCATATCAGAAACACAGAGCTGGTTAAGGTCCCTAGTATTAGAGGAAGGCTCACAAATATGTACTCATTTATGCTAGCTTCTCTTACTCTCTCTCTCCCTCAATTGTCAACTAGAAACTTTCAAAAATATTGTTTCTAAATTATGATTTACGTATTTAGTCCTCTGGAGGCCTATTGTGTCTGTGTATGATTTTGAGTGGCAGGATTATGTTGGTTCTCAATTACCTAAAAGATATTTTTCATATCCTCAGAGTCACAAATATTTTGGGTCAAGTACAATTCTGGGCCATGGAGCTATAATGTAGTATTCTATTTTAGGGCTGTCATCGTAAGAGTAGAAAGGAAATTAGACTGTATTTGTAGGGTCTGGAATTCTTGGGGAAAGGGAAGGGCAAAATTTAAGCAGGCTTGGCACTTGCATATCTAAAGTAGATTAGCTCTCAGGAGCTAGTAGAAGGCTCATGTTATGTTGTCACATTGTGTACCTTTACTTAACTTTTCATAAACATATTCTCTATCTCCAGTTAGATTGCATCCTCTTAGGAATGCATACCTTTTCTTGTGTCTCTCTTCTTTGTGTTTGTAAGCTCTTGAGTGCAAAAAAAATTTTTTTAAATCTTTTTTGGTCCCCAGTGGCACCTAGCATGGTGATTTGCAGAGTAGGCACAAAATAAACACATGTTGTCTATCAGACGGCAGTTTACAGAAATAGTACTAGCTATCATAGCTGCAGTAATGTGGGCATATGATTCGTGGATTCTCCAAGAGCAAATTTGTTTGTCTTCCTTTGTTCCAGAAAGACGGCATGAAACGAGTCTTTTCGGGCATTCAGCCTACAGGAATCCCCCACCTGGGCAATTACCTGGGCGCCATTGAGGGCTGGGTGAGGTTGCAGAATGAGTATGACTCTGTGCTGTACAGCATTGTTGACCTCCACTCCATCACCGTCCCCCAAGAGCCCACTATCCTTCGGCAGAGCATCCTGGACATGACTGCTGTTCTTCTTGCCTGTGGCATAAACCCAGAGAAAAGCATCCTTTTCCAGCAATCTCAGGTCAGTTCATTGGATTAGAGCTGGGAAAACTTTTCTTCGCACTGTTTTTGAGGAAAATTTTTGAGCGGTTCCTATAGCTTCTGTTTGTGATTTTTGAACATAGTTTGAGGTGGACTTCATCACATATGATTATTTCAGTCTAGCGCTTTACCTGTATTTATATTATTAAGTATCATTAAAATTTCAATAATATTTTTCAACTTTTCCTCCATTATACTTGGTAAGTTTATAATAATTCATATACCAAAAAGTTGGTTCTCTTTAGTACTCCTAACCCTATAATTGTTTTTCTATGCTGGGTTGCATTCAAACTGATGACTTCATGCTGTTGACTAATCTTGTGCTCAAGGATAGAATTTAGTGGCCAGTGGTTTTCTGTAATTCCAGTGTTGCTTTATTGGATATTACATTTGGAAGGCCTATTGGATATTTCCCATTGTTCATTCTTTATATGATAGTGTTTGAGAAGATTTGATAGAACAGACTGGGAAATTAGAAAACAAAGTACCAGTGTCTTGTGTTTAAGCCTAGAAAGACTTCAGAGCAAAGCCAAAATATTGGAGTCGCAATTTACTGTGGATGAATCAGTTTGTTCTTGGATAGGCAGACAGCCTGACCCAGACACAGGGCAATTAAAATATGCCCTAGAAAAGGAAGATGAAAATTCTAACTGGATTATGCCCTCATTAGATATCTGGTTAAATCTTGTGACAAAGCTCAGCCAATAAATTGTATGTTATACATGCTATGGTACATGTTAACATGCATGCATATATATATGATCTCCCTTGATCATAAACTTAAGAATATCATTATTTTACATGTTTTATTATTCACATAACTTAATGTGATAGTTCACACAGAGCAACCTATTAAAAATATGTAATAAGTGAAGAGAATGCAGTGGTCCTTTAGCTTCCAGAGAGTATTGGTTCTAGGACCCCCACAGCTACCAAAAATCTGTGGATGCTCAAGTCCCATCTATAAAATTGCTTAGTATTTGCGTAGAACCTATGCACATTCCTCTCATTTACTTTACATCAGCTCTAGATTACTTATAATACCTAATACAATGTAACTGCTATATAGATAGTTGTTATGCTATATTGCCTTTTTATTTGTATTTTTATTGTGCTGTTATTTATTTTTTCCTGAACATTTTAAATCTGTAGTTTATTGAGTCCAGGGATGTGGAACCCATGGGATTGAAGGGAATCATCAGAAAATAAATGTAGCTATTAACTTAAACTTGTTGCCAGCTTGGAAATAATTCAGGTACTTGGAGACATTTGTTATGTACCATTTCTACCTTACAGATCTTTACCTTATGGGTTCTTACCTTATAGGTCTTACCTTCTTCAAGCTAGTTGTCACTAGGTTGCTCATGCTCTTGGTCATTCTATCTCAGAAGGATTCCCACCTTTTCTTTGAAAGGAATGCACCTCTCATATTTCATAAAACAATGTTTGTTCAAACACTTCACATCCATCGTCGACGCTGGAGAGCTGGTCATCATTAGAGCCACTTTTTTAGTCACTTGGATGCATTTTGCAAAGCATATCGTCTTCACTCCATCTAAGCTGTTTCTAATACAAGCTCTCTTTTTATCCTTATTTGATACTATTTCTAAAAGTTGTATTCTAGGCCAAAAGTACCTATCTTCATACTTCTTGTAGGTGAATATGTCTAATCTCTACAAAGTAACCCCTTGCCAGATTGCTTTTTTAAGTGATCTTTAAAATTAAAGGCTTATTTACAACCACATCCTGTACTTGTACTTTGAGCTCATACCCCCAAGAACAATGATCGTATTATAATTTTTTCCCCTTTGTAAGGGATTTTTGTTGGGAACCTCCATAAGCATCTCAAATTTGCAATCATTGAGATATCTTCCTCTACTTAGTACTCTGTTGTTCAGAATACCAATTGAAAGAGCAACCCACAATATGGGAGACTTTGTAAGGAGTCCTTCCTAAATGAGGAGTAATAAAATTCATCTTCCCTTTCCATGGAACCTGAGGAACTCAGTGGCTCCAGGGTGATGTGGTCTAGGTCAGCAGAGACGACAGCACTGACTGTTGCAAGCCTGTCTTGCAGCCCCGTGTGGTTCTGAAGCTGTCTCCCAGGTCCCTTCCTGCCATCCCTCAGAGTTCCCTTGTGGGGAGTTTTGGTAGCTTGCCAGCAAAACTTGAGGGAAATACACATTTTGCCCACATTCTAAAACCTGTCTCCTGAAGGCAATGTGAAAGACTTCCTCAGGTGTCTCTCTAGCCTTAAAGCAAACTTGATCTTGACCGTTTTCTTCTTTGACTCAGGCAACCAACCTTATTACAACTCTGCAGATGGATGGGATATTTTATCACGTTCTCTTTCCTTTTTAAAAATACTTAATAAAGAAAAAACTTAAACTGTTTGCAACAGTAGAGAGGATAGTATACTGTACTTCCATCAATTACTAACATTTTGTGATTTGTCTCATTGATGCTCTTTTCTTTGAAGTATTTTAAAGCAGACACCACATATCATGACTTTTTTTCTCTCTTTTAATTTTTATTTTGAAATTATGGGGTACAATTCAGGGTTAGGTATACAAATATTCATTGTGCAGGTACCCTTATTGATGAGGTATGCCCCCCCTTCCCCAGGCAGATATCGACTACTGTCAATCCCAGCTACCCACCTCCTCCCCCCCTCCCCACAGTTTCCCACTATTTTCAACTTTCAGTCCCTTTCCTACAGTAATACAGTAGTTGTTCAAGGTCCACTTATGAGTGAGAACATGTGATACTCAGCTCTTTGTTTCTGTGAGAGATCACTCAGTATTATAAACTCTAATTCCATCCACATTTCTGTGAAGTTCTTAATTCTGTTCTTTTGAATGGCTGGATAATATTCCATTGTATATACGTACCACATTTTTTAAAATACAGTCCTCTTTTGGTGGGCAGCACGGTTGGTTCCATGTTCTTACTATTGTGAACAATGCTGCAATAAACATACCTGTGCAGGTATCTTTTTTATAGAGTGACCTGAGTTCTTCTGGGTATACTCCTAGTAGGTGGATTGTGGGGTCATATGGAAGGTCAATTTTTAGAACTTTTATGAATTGCCACACATATCATGACTTTTACTTCCTAAATATTTTCGTGTACCTCTCTATAAATTCAGAATTTTTTCTTACACAGCCACAATACTGTCATGACATCTAACAAAGCTAATAATTCCATATTATCTAATCCCCAAATTGCCCTGATCCTCCCAAAAATGTCTTTTATAATTTGCTTCTTTGAGAGAAGATCTATCGAGATCCACATATTGCATTTGGTTTTGGATCTTAGGTCTCTTTTTTCATTCCTTTTGATTTGTTCCTCAAATTTTAATTTATTTCTTGTAAAATTAGTACCTCTGCACTTAAAAGTATTCAAAATTTTGATTTTTCTTCTTTTTTTAATGCCTTTGATGTATTAAGTTTCCTTTTTATTTACTATAAGTTAATTCTTTGGAACTTAAAAATAAGCCTTACTATTTTGGTTGCTTTTCCTTTGCATCAATCTGTGTTAGCTGATGGCCAGTGACTATGAGCTACTGTCCCACATAGTTGGTCATTACCCTTTGCATTAATGTGGATGGAAACTGTGCTGGCCGCTTGCCCATGGAGCACCTGGAAAGGAACATTAGACATCAGCTCCTTTCAAATGATCGTAAAGTCTCAGGTTGTTCATAGGTGAGGACGGAAAAATCTTCCTCAGGCTTTATCTTAAAATCGTGAAGACATGTATTGGCTTTTCCTTCTTAGGACCGTTTTCAAGTATACACATAATCAAATAAGCTGGTCTCCCTGAAGTAGTTGTTGTTTTAAACACATGGCTTCATATTTGCAGTGCTCTAGTAGATGAAAGAATTATTGTGGGGATGCTTTATGTTTTGTGATACAAAAATCAATAATTGGCAGCTTTTTTTTTTTTTTTAAAGCTTTGAACTTTTATCTTCATTATTTATTTATTTGTTTGTTTTTAGAGGCAGAGTCTTGCTATGTTGCCCAGGCTGGTCTTGAACTCCTGGTCTCAAGCAATCCTTACACCTCAACTTCCCAAAGTGCTGGCATTACAGGTATGAGCTACTATACCAGGCCAACTGCTGACTTTTTTTCTTAATTTTAAATTGACAAAAATTATATATATTTATGGTGTACAACATGATGTTTTGAAACATGTATACATTGTAGAATGGCTAAATTAAGCTATTTAATATATGCATTACCTCACTTTTTTGTGGTGAGAACATTTAACATCTACTCTCTTAGCAGTTCTCAGGTATACAATACATTGTTATTGACCATCGTCACCATGTGTTTACAATAGATCTCTTGAACTGATTCCTCTTGTCTAATTGAAATTTTGTATTTTTGACCAGTCTTATTATTTCCCCTACCACCTGAACCCTGGTAACCACCATTCTACTCTGCTTCTGTGAGTCTGATGACTTTTTTAGATTCCACATATGAGTGAGATCATACAGTCTTTCTGTGCTTGGCTTATTTCACTTAACATGTCTTCTAGGTACATCCAGATTGCTGCAAATGACAGGATTTCCTTTTTCAAGGCTGCCCAGTATGCCACCGTGTACATATATCATGTTTTATTCATCCATCTGTTGATGGACACTTTGATCGCTTTTGATGAATACTTAGGTTGACTATCCATATCTTGGCTCTTGTCAATAATGCTACAATGAACTTGAGAGTACAGGTAATCTCTTTGACATCCTGGTTTCATTTCCTTTAGATATAGACCCAGTAGAGAGATTGCTGATTTATATGGTAGTTCTATTTTTAATTTTTTGAGGAACTTCCTTACTGTTTTCCATTGATGACTGCATTAGTATATATCCACACCAACAGTGTGTAAGGGTGCTCTTTCTCCATATCCTTGCCAACACTTAATGTCTTTCATCTTTTTTGTAATAGCCATTCTAACTGGTGTGAGGTGATCAGCCTGTGT